AGACTGCGGTAGAAACTCCGAATAAAATCCAAATTAAAATAGAAACAAATATTTTAAATTCCTGACATCATTGGTCAACTCCGTCAAACACCATGCACAACTTTCCGAAGGGCATTCTGGAAGAACATTAAGAAGAGTGAGAAGCTCGATTGTCAAGTCCCGTCCCGGGTTCGGCGTAGCACCGCGTTTTGTTTTTGGTTTCGTTTCGGTTCGGTTCGGTTAGTCAAGTGTTGATTGAATTTGGTGGTGTTGGTGGGCACGGTAGATTCTAGAAATCGGAGATCAATCGAAGGTTACTGAAGGTTGAATGATTTGGCTTGTGTGTGTGTGTGTGTGAGAGAGGGGGAAGTTGATTAGAACCAAGAACGTGAAGAGTTCGCGAGAAGTGAGTGGAAGCGGATCAAAGGAAGCGTTGGGTTTCAGTAGTGCTGTCATCGTCCTTATTGTCAGTGGAACGGTGGTTCTTGATTCGGTGCGATGCAGTGTTTTTGTGTCGATTGCGGATAGAGATAGTAATATAAAAAATCAAGTTGTCGTCATCATTCGTTGGTACAGGTGACATTACTGTAAATCATATATTTTAAATCTTTATATTATATCCTGAGTGGAGGGAGGGGTAGCCTAAGGGAATCAAAGGATTTGTTGACTGGATGGGGGTTCGTGGATTTGCCAGTCCCTTGTCACGTGATTACAGATGCCCATCTGGCCGTTTTGTCTTCCAAAGGTCTTCAATGAAGCAGATTCACCCTGCTGCAACAAACCATCAGATAGAACTTTACAACCGGTAAAGTATCTGCAAACATCCCATCACGTTCCAGTTGAAGATTGTTCTTATACGTTTTTCGTTTTCATTTTCGAGGGGACGTGTCTGCTTTTGCGGACAGTGCGTTTGATAGTCGGTTTGGTGTGGCTGGAGGATTTATTTTCATCGTTTCTAATTTGCCAGACGGATGACCTCGATCGCGTGAGGCATATTGCTCGGTTGTTATGGTTAGGTGCCTATGAATAATGCATTATGATTTTTTTTTCATAATGAGAGAGAGAAGGATTAGTAATTTCCATTTAATTCCACTACCTTATTTGCTTATCCTTGACAGATACGCGTATTTCGTCTACAATGTGCAGACTTCTTAAGTGTCTTGTACTAATACTCGACTGAAGAAAAACATGGCATTTACCGAATATATATTAACACAAGTAAAAGTGCCTTGCTTTTAAGTGAAAAATGTACTTGTGTGTGTGTTAATATATATTGGATAAATGCGATGTTTTTCTTCAGTCGAGTATTTGTACAAGACACTGAAGAAGTCTGCTTATTGTAGACGAAATACTCATATCTGTCAAGGATAAGCAAATATCCTCCCTTTGGCTAGTTTTTAACCTGGAAGTTGGTGGGCGGGCCTAATCTTATGCTTCATAGTGGAGCGTTGGAGACGGTTGGTTTAAGTCCGGCATCGTTGGCTCATGCCGTGACAGAATAGCGTCATGAGTATGCGATGAGGATTACTGAGCTTCCCCTCTCTGATGAACCATTGCATGAGAGAACCAAAGTTCTAGCCTGAAGTGATAGTATCACACTTGTTACTCCTTTGTTTGAAAGCCGCGTTGTAGTACGCTTACGTATAGGCACTGACGTTGGGTGCGATACTGGCGGGTTTTTCCGCAAATCACTCCTATTTTATTTGTCTGTTTATTGTCTGTTTATTTTGATGGTTGCTTTAAAATATCAATTTGGTATATATGTGAAAGGATGAATCAGTGGGAGATGGATTTTCGGTTTCTTTACATTTTACATCACAAATCTAGTACTATGTGTCATTTCCTCAAAACCCTCGAATAACCGACCTTTTCAATCCCTTCCTTTTCCCACGGCGTTCAAGTGGTCCGCATAGACTATTCAGCCGTTACCCTTCCTTTATCCTCGGCTTTGGATTGACTTGCGCTCCCATTGCCCCACCAAACGCTGCAAAATGAAAATGAAAATGAAATCTGTCAAGGGTAAGCAAATAAGGTAGTGGAATTAAATGGAAATTACTAATCCTTCTCTCTCTCATTATTCAGGTATTCCACTAAGACGCCCACATTCATCAGGATTTTTTTCATGTTGAAGCATGATTCGTTAAGAAAATAAATGTCACGATCGAATATGCAAGCTTGGCACTTGACCGCCCTAATAAAAAATACCATACCTGAACGATAACCCAAATGATTGAACTATTACACAAATAACCATACAAATTTTACCACAAACAAACCATGCACAAAATAACCATACAAATTTTACCACAAACAAACCATGCACAAAATAACCATACAAATTTTATTAGGGCGATTAGTTTTTGATGTGTTATTAGGTGTGTCCTTAACACGATCATGAGGGCCTGACGGTAGTCACGGCGGGTTGTGTTTGCTTATGTGGTTTGGTGGTTTTGATGCGGTAGTTTGACGCATAATCGGGGTGGTCCGGTGAAATATGAAGAAGATGGGCCTCATTACGGGTGTCACTACACGGTGATAAGGAAGTGATACTCAAAATAAGAGCCGTGAGTGCCGTACAAATAAAAAATCACTTCACTGTGACGACAAGTGACAAGTTTTCACCGTGAAGTGACATCCGTAATAAATCCCGATAACAGTCGTTTTAAAATGCAATAGAGTTCGGTTGAGACAGCTTAAAAGATGTGCCATATTTGTACGCTGGTAAAATCATCGTGTCAGTCGTAGTTTACTTTGTGAAGTAAGGGGTACGGTAGACAAAAAAAAATTGTGAAAGGTTTATGGATTCTGTTCTATCTTACGTAAGGACCAAATCGAAACGACGAACGTAAAAGTAGAATTCAATGAAGGCATAAGCGCTTTTTTGTCTCCAGGTTTAAAAGATCATCGTTCGTAGAGACTTATTCTTACGTAAAGGGCACCGCCGTCGGGTTTGATTTTAAATAAATCCCAAGTCCGGTCATATTAGGGAGACTAATAGTAACATCGCTTAATTATCGTATGCTTGGATGATGTGAAATGAGAAGCTTGGTGGCCTTAGAGCGACCATTTTTGCTTACTGAGTAGAACATCATGAGTTTAAGCTCAAGCCTCTCTACATTCAAGATTCGTTAATCGCTTTATTTGTTAATGTGTATACATTGGAATAACCACAAATCGATCATTGGTGTGTTGTAATAAAAGGAGCTCGTTTGCCTAGTGGCAAACGTTTTTACTTACTGAGCAGAATATAGTGGGTTGAATTCCAAGCTCTTTTGCGTTATATGATCGTTAGGATATCAATTCAGTTTATCGTTTACCACTGGGCTGCAATCCCAACCTTCTTACCCAATATCCCAGTGATTCCTCGTGGAAGTGCAGAGGTGTTCTCGGCTTCCATCAAAGCGAGTGTTGCGTCAACACATTCCTATCCATTCATTTCTTGACCTGCGTTCGGGCGCTGCCAGCGCTGGTATTGCCTGGTTTTAGATCATCAGTTTTTACATATTGAGGATGATTGTTACACTCTTATCTTATCTTCAGCCGAGTGGTTCTGAAATTTATTTTGCTGAGACTCAGTAAAAGAATTCCCGAGACTCAGCTAACAAACAGATATTTTGCAGAGATATCAGGAAAAGTAAATGCCGAGGTAATCGGCTGTTGGAGATTTTACCGAGCTGGATTAAGTGTGTAGTCCCAAGCATCGTTTATTGGTTATATGTGCAATCACAGAATTTTGCCAGTTATTTTTGAAAAACTGTTGGCAACTCTGGCTATACCTCTTGCTGCCCCTCAGCGGTAGACGGATTTATCCAGCATCTCCTTCTCCCTGGCAGCTATCTTCTCTGCCGATTGATGCAGAATAGAATTATCGGTTCTGTTGACATCTTTGAAAGAACCGCCCAAGTAATCAAAAGTTCTGATAAAAGGCTATTTGTGGCTTAAGCAGCTTGGTTGAAGGTGGTCTATAGAATTCTAAGTAGCCTCATTTTTAAGTCGTTATAAGAGCTTGGAAGTTCCGGTACTATAATTGAAGAGCATTCTAAGCAGCTTCTGGCGCAACTTGAACGGCATTTTTAGAAAATAAGTTAAAAAAGGTTTTTGTCCTTTATATTTAGTTGGCACTTTTAAGAAAGTCAGGTCTTTTTGAAAGCTGATTAAGTCTAGTTCTTCGGCATGCGAGCCCCAGCACGAACCGCTACGTCATCTGGGATATATTAAAGTGCACTGTTGTCCCGTCTACGGTTGGAGTTTTCAGTGCCAGCTGACTGACTTAAATGCGAAACACAACACCTTGATGAATTTTAAATTGGTGTTTGCCCGGTTGGTATTCCAACATACTTGTGGAGCAGTGGTTCGTAGATCGCATGTCGAATACGCGGGATCGAATCTAAGAAATTGCTCTTTATTTTTATTTTATGTTTGGATGGAATATTGTTGCACTGCATAAATATAAGAATTATAATTTATTTGAGCCACTGATCACTTCACATTTACGTACATTAATTTTTGATCCTAAGACTTGTACGGATTGCTTCATGTGGGCTATGACGGACCTTTTTAGAAACTTTGAAATTGCTAGAAGTTCCGTAGGGAACTTTTAAGATACTTTAAAGTTGCTGAGAAGTTCAGCTGTAGTAACTTTATTCGAACTTTATTGAACTTGAAGGTTCTGTCGGAACTTGATTTGAACTTTATAGAACTTTAAAGTGAGTTTTATCGTTGGCGGAACTTTTGGTTATTTGGGCGGATGATCCTTTTCTGGTGAATGAAGCGTTCATAGACATAGACTCAGCACATTTTGACTGTTATTATTTTTAGTTTAGCTTTGATAATTCTGTTGTTATTATTTGGTTATTAAATCAACCGGACGTTTGCTTTCTTTGTCGATACACAGATTAAAATTCACCACAAAATTAATGCATTTTTTTACCCATGAAAATTTGCAATACTGCTCGAATAATCTCATTAAATATTAATTTTACCCCGATTCAAACCAGATTTTTCCTTTTTTTTCCTTCCAGAACATTAACCATCATTTCCCACGGAACGATGAACATTGGTACGCCGGCAGACAAATTTGTGCGATAGTCCCTGCCTGTTGATAGCAAGTCTTAAAATCTACCAAAATAAAAATTCGACACCGTGAATCAACGAACCGACGAATGGTATAAAGCTAAGGTGATTCCGCTGGACGGAGACAACCATCATCATCATCATCGTCGTCGTCGTTGAAGTTTTTAATGAATCGAGTTACCACCAACCGAGCGAGTGACCCATCTTCCACACTTGGTAAGCAAACATTCCTCCTCAAAAGCATACACTTGTCGGACGATTGTTGTTGTTGCTGTTGGGGCTTGACCGTAGCGTGTAGAGTTTATCACAGGATGGAGTACCACCTCTCGTAATTTGTAATTGTTTTGCTAAGATTTCGTTTTACGAGCGATTATGAGTCTTTTTTTATAGCCTCGGAGTTGATGCAATCTGATGACTCTGTTGTAAATTTTAAATTTGCTGGGGTAATACACCTAGCGGTGTGGCTGAGGATCATCCAATTTGTAGTCGATGTCAATACTTTTCTAAAAAAAAACAATCAAATGATATTCCCCTTGAACCAAGCAGCTGATTAATGCAACTTGAAACACGGCGAAGCTTCTGAGTTACCTACCAGGCTACTTGAACGACTCGTAAAGAAACGGAGCTAAGGTCAGCATCGCCCTCCACTTGTTCTCGTTATAAAGATGTCTCCTCGACCGTTCGTTGACAACGGAACAAAGAACTCCGATCGCGATGTCATCCGAGCAATAATTTAAAAATAAAAAATAAAACAGCACCATAAATTAATCCGGCTACAACGATCGAGTAATCTGCAGCGAAACGACCTTTGGGTTGGGTTGATTATTGTTGTAAGTATTTTTATGGATTCCACCTGATTTAAAATGCGCAGTCGGCTCACAGAAAGTGGTTACCCACCTACCAACCACCTTGCGTGTGATTGATTAAGGTGGATTCGAAGAAGTAGAGGATGTTTGCGTGAGTGTAGTTTGTGGTGGGTAATTACAATTTGGTTTACAATGCCAAGTTCACGTGATGCGTCACCGACTGCGTCGGATTGAAACGGCAACTCGGGTGAGCTTTACAGGGTCTGATGGATACCTACTCCGGAATGTTTGCTGCAATTCGATTGCAGGGAACGGTCTGAACATGGGTTGAAAATGAAGTTCACTTGTGGATCGCAAATTAGAATGCGTAAGTCACGAACGAGTGTTCTAACGTGTAACACGATGTTTTTACAACTTTGTTGACTTAATTTGGGTCATCAACACTTCAAAGTTTTATAGAATAGATAAGCTGGTTATTTGCAATAGAAGCAAGCTCATCGTTTCACCCCTAGTTGTAAATTGACGTATTTTTCATATCCGAGTAGTTCCACGCCAACTGACGGATCGATTATATTTTCCTCTCTCCAAATTCCATTAAACTTCGCATAATTGTTCACTACGAGCAATGAACCAAATTGATGCCGGTGTTCAGCCATTTTGACTCACGCTAATGTTTCAAAATGGCGTATTCGATACTTTTAAATAAATCATAGCAAGAAAATGGCTCTCTAATAGATTTGACGTGTGAGACAAACTTGTACACGGCCAATGAGATCAACTCAAATTTAAGTTCAGTTTACTTATAATCGCAAAAGTGCGATGAGTAAATTTGCCTCATGTTGAAATTCTAAAAAATCTGCTGAAAAATGAGTCAAATTGCTAAAAGCTTCATAGCAATTCCATGCATATAAGGAAAATTTCGGAATCTTCAGGAACCTTCAATAAATTCCAATAATTTAGGGAAAGTCCAAAATCTTCACGGAAAAAAAAGGAAAAACAATCTAAACTTCAAAGAACATCCTTGAATTTCGCGGAAGTCCATAGAACTTTAGGGGATTTTTGTGATTTTTATGTCAGTTTCAACAATTACCGGGCAATCCCAGGAACATGAGCAGGAGAATAACGAGAACTTCAGATAATTTCCGTGAATACCATGAATGATAAGTGACCTTCGGGGAAGTCTCATAAACTTCACAAACATTGTAGGAAGTTCTGAGGAATGGAAGGAAGTTCTGAGAATTTTAGGGTTTCATGAACAAACTGCGGGAACATCAGGGATATTCTGAAAACTTTTCGAACATTTTGGGATGTTCAGAGAAGCTTCATGAACTTCATGGCAATTCCATGAACTTCAGGAAAACTGCAGGAGCTTTAAAAAAGCTTTAAGACTATCAAGCATATCCAGAGCATTTTAGGGAAGTCAAGAAAACTTCATAAAAGTATTTTAAAGAAGTTCCAAATAGTTTAGAGAACCTTGGTCTAGGGAGCTTAAGGGATTGTCAGAGATCATAAGGGTGTACGTTCACACACGTCCAAAAAATGAAAGATCCAATACATTCAAGACAGATTCATTAACGTCTGGAAAATTTCAATAATCCTTAAGAGGTTCCGTGAATTTCAGGAATGTCCAGAAAATTCCAGAAAACATCAGTAATATTTCGGGTACTTCACAGGAGTTCAGAGCACTTCAGGAAAGTCTAAAGGTACCATACGACGAACTTTAGGAGCATTCTGAGAACTTCAGGGAAGGTACATCTGGACAGATCAGTGAACCTAATTTCAAGGGAATTGCTGCAAGTTTGAAGGAGTTCCGGAAATTGTGTAAACCTCCGCAAAGTTCCGAGGGCGTCAGGGAAATTTCGGAAACGATTGAGAAGTTATCAGAACATTTTACGGGATGCTCCGAGATTTCCATGGCAATTTCGAGACATTGAAAAAAATGGGAGCTTCAGCGAAGATGACAGTTCCACTAATTTCAAGAAAATTACGAGAACTTTCAAAAATGTTGCCAAATCTTCACGAAAGCTTAGAGAACCTCAAAGAATATTAGAGATTTTAAGGTAGTTTCATTATGTTTGAGGAAGTTTAGAGTATTTCGAGGATGCACCGAGAACTACAGAGCAGTCCCATTAAGTTCAGAAAAAAAAATGTAGGACATTTCAAGAATTTTTAAGCAATTATTATATGCCGAGAATTTCAGAAATCTTCCGGAAACTTCAGGAACATTGTATGGTCGTCAAGATAATTGTGTGAATATCAGGAAAATTGTCGGAACATTAGAACACATAGGCAACTTTAAAGAAGTACCAAAAACTTCAGATAAGTCAAAAAAAGAGACATACTCTTATTTTGCCGTTAGATTTTCTAACAGGCACCAACGGGTTTGTCCAGTCACTTTAGCATTCCTCAATGACATCCATGTCCTTGAATCTCTGGATTTCCGCGTCGATCTCTTCCTGAATCCCAGGTGCACATCGATACATCACTTGGTTTTTTGGTTTTCGCCTCTTCTTTGAGCACGACTTCATGCTGGATTAAATGCGTCCGGCCAAGCTTCTTGCTGCTGGTTAACTCAAAATTTTTCATCACCTGTACCAAGTCCTGTCGTTCCTCGTCCGTCAAATTGTGCTTGACTTCAACAGTATCCACCGTAGGCTCCTGTGTTTCCTCCGGGATGTCGAAGGTTGGAACGTCCAGCATCGTATCGTTCCCTGATGACGGAATTTTGGGAAGTTCTCCTATCGGTTCCAGGGTGAAAGCTATGAACTCGTCCGTGTCATTAAATTGACCTATCTGATCTGGTCTGTTACCTAGGTCTGCCATCGATGTAATACCAAAATTACATCCTAGAATAGGTTTCGAGATCTTTGATCTCACACGTGTCCCTATCGTCTTGTCTGAATTTTAATGGTATGAATGCGGTCGATAGGGCCAAAATGTGGTGTTGTTTCGGAATCTTTGTTGTCTTCTGGAATGTTCGGGTTCCCTGACGTACATCCCCTTAATTGTTTCCCTGGTTCTGCCTACCTCGTCCGAAGGTCCGTTCCGCGCATTTCTGACATGAACGGATTGTTTGTCCTACTTTGCCGCAACCGTAGCAGAAGATTACTCGTGGCTCCTTACAATCCCACCAGTTGTGACCAACCTTCCTGCAGTTCCAGCATACGTTCCCTTGCAAATGTCCAGTTTGTTTTTGATTCGTCGTTGTTTGTATTCCTCCTCATCATCGGTTGGTTTCGTTGGCTTGCTCTCTGACCTCCCACGTTCGGAAGATGTACTTTCTACCTGATGAATATTCCGTTGATTTCGAGGCTCCGTATTCCTTATCTCTGGGTATGGCTGGAAGCTGGTATCAGCCGCCTCAATCCGGTGATTAAGTTTGATTAGATGTTCCAAGTCTCGTATTAGAATAATGGAGGTTTTTGAGCGATAATGGGGGCGCATATTGTCCCAGACAACTTCGAACTTCCGTCGTTTCGAAAGCGGTTTTGAGAGCATTTTGTTAAGCCGTTCTATTTCCGATACAAATGCACTTAAAGATTCACCTCTGTGTTGTTTCCGCTCGTGTATCCGTTGTCGAATTCCTTGATCCTGATTTGGTTTCCCGAACCGAAACCTGATTTTCTCCTCGAAGTCATCCCAATCCTCTAATTCGTCCACGTATGTAAAGAATCAGTCCGAAGCCTGACCTTCCAGAATTCAAGTGTATGTCTCGAAGTAAACTCCGCTGAGAAACTACTTCTCGTTCTGCTATCTTCTTCAACTTGGATGGATTGCTATCTTCTTCAATTTTCTATGGATTCTGTTCTGTTGTCCCCGGAAAAGGAGAGCTTCCAGTGCTCAATCCTTCGAAACTGTCGAAAATCTCTGCTGTTCCTTCCACGGTATCTGTCCGATCCGCTGGTTCTATCGTTACTGGGACTCCTACCCTCGTTGCTTCGTCGATCGTTGGCCTGCCTTCTGTTACGATGCCAGTCACGCTGCCGATCGTCGATCCCACGGTCGGATTCGTCTGAGTACGATCTAGGTCCCTTATTGACTTTACTACTTCTTCCTTGTCCTTTGCCACTATGCCTCCCTCTATCCGAGTCACTGCTGTCGGAATCTGTGGTTTGTGACTTTTCTTTAGCTGATAGTCTGTTGGCTGGTTTCGTTCGTTCTGTCATCCCACGATCCTTACACGTGTTCTTTTGGTCGTCCTTGGCTCTAAGATTCCCCAATCGCTGCAGTGTGTGTGGTTGGCTGTTTGTCTTTCCCCTTCGATTCCTTCTTGTTGTGGATTGGTCGTGTAGGTGGTAGTTTAGGTTTTGCTCCAGTCTTACTTGAGTCCTTGGGGAAAGTAAAACTTGTCTGAATTCAGCTCGCCATAAAACTACCTGAGACGTAGTTCTCGGAACTGTGCTGAAGTTC